TATGTGCCATATTTCTAGAGAGAAGAGCGGCACCACCCCAGGAGGGATGAAGACCATCTCTTTTCAACAGGTCAGGTCTGCCCCAAAAACTCATCCAATTGTCTATGAAACCTATGCTATTCTGCGGGCACCACTTAGACATCCAGCCATTGAGTGACGACAGTCTGCTATGTATCTCGTCACCACGGTAAGCAGGGAGGGGACCTGAGCATATTACTGTGTCTGACAACGTGCTTGCAAGTTCACACACCTCTTTAATGTTATTTTTAGCAGTGGTGGGCCGTCAGGGCCAGCAAAGCCTTCTCTGCTGGCCTAAACACTATCAGAATCACTGATTTAGTTTTAATATATTTTTCCATGAATGTGTATTAAATTATTTCCAATAGTCTATTCTCTTCAGTTCATAGCTTTTCTCTTGGTTGCACTGCTTCCAGCAGTGTATGTTTATATTAGAGCTTTTATCCAATCATATTTCAGCAATCGTGTTGCCAGGGTCAAAGAAATCTGCCTTAAGGCCTTCAGAATCAACAGTGCTGGTGTCTGTTAGCTTAAATTAATGGCAATGAAACCGTTGCTTAAACCAATCAGATTTCGAGTTGGCAACACCAGGGGCAAGTTCAAGCTCAAACCGGTGTGCACCGTTTTGCTACGGTTTCCGGTTTGAACGACATGTTTCCTGGAAACGGTGTGCAACGGGGTTTAAGATACGTTTTCTCTTGTTTGGTGGGTGTGTCAAACATGTCAGCCCAATCAGCAGCAGGGTCGCTTCAACCCGCGGACATGAACAACAACCCGCGGCAACAGTGTTAAAGTAGCCCAATTCTGCGGGAAAACCGCGGACTTGGCAACACTGCTTATGAACCGACCGCACTATAGCGTTACCTTGGTTACCGCTGTAAACAAAGCAGAGCCGCGCTTTATACGAGAAGAAAATGCCATTGCCATCGACACTTTTCTCAAGACAGTTCCCTTCAGTGATACATTAATATAGCCCCAGAAATGTAATGCATTTTTGTACTTATTTTACTGTTATTTTCGGGATCTACTGGGGACAGTGATAAAGATCTACCAGTCGATCGCGATCGACGGGTTGGCGACCACTGCACTAGAGTATGGTAGGTTAATTTTTATTTCTGACTCTTTTATCGCTTGATGCGTTGTATGCTGATGTTATTTGCGCGATATAAAGCCAGGTTTAAGTTTC